GGCAAGAGAATAGCTTAAGCCCAAGAGTTTGAGGTTGCTGTGAGCTATGACACCATAGCATTCTACCAAGGGTGACATAGTGAGACTCTGTCTCAAAAACAATACAATAACAACAACCACAAAAAAACTTACTCCGTTAAGCCTATAAAAGGTAGAAAAAGAAGAAAAGGAAAAAAAAGGGAACAAAGAACAGAGGCAACCGTAAAAAACATATTATGCTGATGACACTGCCTATTAAACACTACAGAAAGTGATATATGTCAGTTTTCAAATTTTAAAACTATTGATCTTGACATTGTGTAATAACGTAGGAGAGGTAAGTATTATACGGGATTAAGAATTTCAGAGACGTTATACTTAGTGCTTGAAACAAGCAGACTGGTTACTTGGTCGAGGTCAGTCAAGTTTTCTCTCTTTTAAAGTAGGCTTTAATAATTCTAAAGCCTCTTTAATGTATCGTTTGATATGCTTGATAGTTCAGTTGTTTTATTTATTCTTTTACGAGATTAAGCTCTCCTTCAACAGAATGCCTTCTATTTTCATTGCCTTCTCTATACTCCAAATAAAAATTTGTTGAAAAGCATCATTTTAATCTCCCCCCCCTTGCCGTGCATAAATCACAGTAGAGTTTAAAAGACGTACCAATTTGGGAAACAAAGGCGCTTTTGTGTTTGGGTTTACATTCCCAGCATGAACTAATGCTAATACCTGCTTGCATTGATATTAGTGTTCTTGACATTTGTGGGGGAGGTTTTTATAGAAGGAAGCCTTTGTTTTACCTTAGCTTCAAGACAGAAAGATTGGGAAAACTCCAAACCTCTAGCCGAACTCTACGTTCCCCTGAAATTTACACTCTGTGAAAAGTGAAATACTGAGATTTAAGCTACACTTGACTCTGTCCTATTCCTCAGCAGTGGATATTCAAAGTGACCTAAGTCTGTTTGAAAGATCTCAAGGGCCTGTCTTAGTGTTATAGAATCATTGGCCTAACTCTCTTCTTTTCTTGGTGGTAGGAAAAAAATTACCTTCCTAGTTAGTCACAAGTTCTTCCCTCATTCTCCACCTGTTCAGGAGCATTTTCTCTCTGCTCATTTGGTTTCTGGGCCTTTTTTCTATGCCATGTGGTCTCAGCCCATTTTTCGCTAATGTAGAAAATGCTGCAAACTGAGTAAATTGTAGAGAATAGAAGTTGTTTTGGTTCATGGTCCTGGAGGCTGGAAAGTCAAAGGTGAGGGGGCATGTCTGGTGGGGGGTCTTCTTGCTGGGTTGTAACATAGCAGGAGACAGGATATGGGGGTGGGGAAGCAACTTATTCTTTTATCAGGAGCCTACTCCACAATAATTAACCCACTCGCAAGATAACAGCATTACTCCATTCCCAAGGGCACAGCTCCCAAAGGTCCAATCACCTTTCAAAGGTCTCACCTCAAAATGCCATTAACAATGGCAATTCAATTTAGACACAAGTTTTTGATAGACACATTCAAATCACAGCATACGGGTAACAAGGAGATTCCACGTTCTGAAATTGAAAATGGAAGATATTTACTTGTGGGTGAGACAAACCTCTCAACTATTACAAAAGAATTATATGTTGATATGAACTTGAATCTGTCAGGTAAATGAATTGAAAGAAAAGGCAGAAGTCAATACAAGATAATTTAAAGAGAAGAATTTACAGGATTTTTCATGGAAGGTAAGATTTGTGGGGATTTTTTTTGTTTGTTTCATTTTTGATCTTTTGTAGCTGCGGAGCTTGAGAGAAATGAGGACATGAAGAAATATTATGAATGGCATTGCCTTTAACAAGGTTTGGTTAATATTTAAATTTTATACAAAATATCTCTTGATGCTGAACTGGTGTCTCATTGAGTGTGATACCACCTGATACCCAGGTGTTGTGATGTGGGTGGCATCCTTGTTTTGATTTCTAGAGCAGTCGGCATTGATGTTGGTTCTAGGCATTGGGGGCACTTTTCAAAAGGCATCATTGGAAGAAATTTTACCCAAAATTCAAAATTTTGGCCTCATCCTCACCTCCAGTTTCTGCTACCTTGATCTCGGAGTGAGACGTTAGGGTGTTCTTTTAGGGTTTCTTCCTCTAGTGCCTCTGAAGAATTTTCCTCCTCATATCCCAAGGGAGTCCAACCTCCTCCACTGCAATCCCCGTGCCTTTTATCCTGTAGAAAAGGACCCCACAAGGTCAATGCTGCATTTCCCCTACCTTGCTTATTTCTGGGTAACTGCAGTGGAAAATTGCAGATGGGGAGGGCAGAATGTGAGGAGTTAAAATATTAAGTCTCTCGAGATTGTCTTAAACCAGAAACATACCCTGTCTTAAATCAGAAACATTTCTCTGTTCAAAAGGGAAAGAAAGAAAGATGAGGAAAGTCAAGCAGCTGGGAGAACGTTTGCCTTAAGGAAGATGGTCTGGAAGTGTTGTATTAAACATGGCTTAAGGGTCTACAGGAATGTGGTTCTTTGGGGCTGTGCGTGGCAAAAATTGTATCTCTGACCATCAGTCTGTGAGACAGTGTGTGCGACAGCGAGTGAGAGGAGACAGAGCCGTCAGCACAGCCACAAGGGGGTCTATATGGTGGTAATAAGCTTCTTGCATCTAAAACCAAGGTGCAATTTGTACTTTCTAATTAGATGGAATTATTATTTACGTTCAGGGTTTCTACATAGAAAATTCTTGCTCCTGATGTGGTAATGAATGATTCTTATGCAGAGTAGACTATTGGCTTTTTAATGAACTCCGGGGGTGGGGAGAGGCGTTCCTGCCCTGGGAGGGCTGTCTAGGTCCTGTTTGGTGCCAATCCCTCCGCAAACATCTTCTCATCTAATACTTGTAACAATCCTGCCATGTCATCACCGTTTTGCAGAGGAAGAAACCGAGCGCAGAGAGGAGAGAGGGCACATGGAGCCCACAGTGGCAAGGTGGGGCAGGAAGACAGGCCGTGTGACTTCGGAGCCCTGGGCCTATTTCCTTCCCACGTTTCTAAGGCACAGGAAGGCAGGCGGTGTCTCCGTTTCTGGACAATTACTATTAAGTCTGACCCGCGGGCAACCGCGAGAGGCCGGGGGAGTCTTCGTCACCAAACTCTCCTGCCTCTTCTTCCCTGTAATTTCGCCTCATAGATAATCACTGTATTTCGTTTGTGGACTCCAGTGCTGGACGTGGCAAGTTAAAAGAACTCGCGGGCGTGGTCAGGCAGCGACCAGCGCTCTCATTAGCCGCGTCACTTCTCACAGGTCCCATCACCTTTTTGAGCCTCATATTCCCCACTGGTCAAGTGGAGATAAACCGGCCTGTGAGTGAGGTTTGTTTTCAGGGGTGAACGACATAAGGCGTACGTCTGGGACACACAGGCTGCTCGCTAAATTCCGGGTCTCTCCATTCTCTTTGAGAGCAAGGCTTGCACCTTACTTACCCTTTCGCCCCAGTGCTTGGCGCGCAGGGGGCACCCTGGAGGAAATACTGACTCAGTGGATGCAATGCCAGCCAAAGGCATTTTTCACCCATGTCAGTTTTTCAGGGTACTTTAAGCAGAGAACCTCAAATAAGGAAGATTCCGTCTCCCCTTTCCCAGGTTCTGGTAGTCACCAACAGGGAAGAGCCAGACCGGCGCAAGTCGCTGGCTGACCCCGGAGCCTGCACGGTTGAGTCCGCGCGAGGGCACAGCCGGCCCCGGAAGCCGTGGCCGCCGGCAGAGGGCGCGCGGGGTCCACGGAGCGCGTGGCTCTGGAGTGGGGCCCTCTAAGGCGAGGGGCACCGGCTGCAATCTGGGGCTCACCGCAGCCCGGGACGCGCCCGCCACGGGGACCGAGAGCCAAGTGAGCGCCCTCCGGGCGCAGCGGCCGGCACTGGCCTGGGGCGCCGCTGCACAGCGCCTGATCCTGAGCGGTGAGTACAGGCGCCCGTGGGGCACGTCTCACCCTAGTTGGGAGGTACTTGGAGACAGCGCGGGTCAGACGCGGGGCAGCTGTTCTAGTGGCTAGTGGTGTGTGGGAGAGTGGAGAGGGTCCCCGCTCGCTTCAGGTTTGGGATCAGGCTCAGGGTGAGGGTGGGGGTTACGTGAAGAGGCACTGGATGTTAGCACCCAGCTTAGCTTATAGGCCACTCAGGCTTACTTGAGTTCCACGATCGGGGTTTTTGTCTCGTGGGCCCTGCGCGTGCTGTCCAGAGGTCCACTGGTCAGCGAGGTAACCAGGGAGGGAAGGCGCTTACCTGGGAGTCCCCCACCCCCTGCGCTCGCAGCACCATCGGGGGAACCACGTGCGACTGTCTCCCGCGCAACTCTACCTGTCAAGCGAGGCCCGCCCCCAGGGCAGGGGAGGGGAGACGCGGCAGGGTGGGCTGTGCCCCACGGGAATCCTGCGGGCCCGTGCGCCCGCCTGTGCCAGCTCCGCTCTCTGTCTCGCGTTCCCGCAGGCTCCCAAGAGGTAGCGGACGCGGCAGTCGGGAGGCGCGGGGCTCTGTCCTGAGGGCCTAAGGCCACCCCTGGGGTGCCCAGGCACTCGGCTCTAGGAGAAAAGCCGCAAAGAAATAGGCTGCCGAAGTGACTACTCCCGGGAGGGATCTCTCCCAAGCGCCTGGGAGTCTTTTGCTCGGGTCTCCGCTTTAAACAATCTCTAGCAGTTCGAGGTGGCAGGCAGCGCCGCCCCTCTGGGGGACTGGCCCGGGATCCTTTTCCCAAATCCGCTGGGGAGGTTTTTGCCAGTCGGGAGCCGAACCCCTGCTGCGAGCGCTTCTCCTGAACTAGACTGAGCCGCTGCGCATTCCGACCTCCAGGGGCTATGAGAGCAACAACCCCAAGGCAAGGTAGGTGGCCCAGACGGGCTTGTCCAGAGAATTATCCGGCTGGGCTTGACATGAGTAACGATGAGATTTGCTCAAGTATCCGCGAACGACCCTGTGCTTTTCTTTTTTGCTTTTTAGGGCTTTTGGAGAGCTGCTGAGGAGCCAGGGGCTTGGAGGAGCGAGTCATGTATTTTCAGCTGCGTCTCAAAAGGGGAGAATTCCCTGTCACCATCAGAGAAGCAACAGCCCCGAAATGTGATTGCAGTTGACTAGCAAGGCAGAGAGGCCTGGGAGTCTCTGTATTGATGGCTTAGAATATGCTAAAAAGCCAATGTTTTCTCTGGGGAATTCAGGGCCAGCTGGCACCCATGACAGTGACCTGGAGCAAGGGAGTCAGAAGACAGTTGTAGAAAGCAGGAGGGAGCTTCTGCAGGACTGACTTGGACTGCCAACAGGAGGCTCCTGCTGCAGCTGCTGCGCAGGTCATGGAATGTTGGTGAGGTCCTCCACCCAGGGGAGCAAGTCCTCTGTGCAAGGGGCTGCCTGGTTAGGGAGGACTCCTGTCAGTCCGACTGACCCCTAATCCCTACTTTGAACTTGAGGACCGTCAGAGCCCTGGAAGATGAGGACTGGGAATACCTCCACCATGGACCGGGCGGGGCTGGTGGTGAAGAGGGACTTCTCCTTCCGCATCCTCACTGCCTGCTTTTTGTCCCTGCTCATCCTGTCCACCCTCCTGGGGAACACACTGGTCTGTGCTGCTGTTATTAGGTTCCGACACCTGCGTTCCAAGGTGACCAACTTCTTTGTTATCTCCTTGGCTGTGTCGGATCTCTTAGTGGCTGTCTTGGTCATGCCCTGGAAAGCAGTGGCTGAGATTGCTGGCTTCTGGCCGTTTGGGTCCTTCTGTAACATCTGGGTGGCCTTTGACATCATGTGTTCTACTGCATCCATCCTCAACCTCTGTGTGATCAGCATGGACAGGTACTGGGCTATCTCCAGCCCCTTCCGTTATGAGAGAAAGATGACCCCCAAGGCAGCCTTCATCCTGATCAGCGTGGCGTGGACCTTGTCTGTCCTTATCTCTTTCATCCCAGTGCAGCTTAGCTGGCACAAGGCAAAACCCACCAGCCTTTCTGATGGGAATGCCACATCCCTGGATGAGACCATAGACAACTGTGATTCCAGCCTGAGCAGGACATATGCCATTTCATCCTCCCTAATAAGCTTTTACATCCCTGTGGCCATCATGCTTGTCACCTACACCAGGATCTACAGGATCGCCCAGAAACAAATACGGCGCATCTCTGCCTTGGAGAGGGCGGCAGTCCATGCCAAGAATTGCCAGACCACCACCGGTAATGGAAAACCTGTCGAATGTTCTCAACCTGAAAGCTCTTTTAAGATGTCCTTCAAGAGAGAGACTAAAGTTCTGAAGACTCTGTCGGTGATCATGGGGGTGTTTGTATGCTGCTGGCTGCCTTTCTTCATCTTGAACTGCATTCTGCCCTTCTGTGGGTCTGGGGAGACCCAGCCTTTCTGCATCGACTCCATCACCTTTGATGTGTTTGTGTGGTTTGGGTGGGCTAATTCCTCCTTGAACCCCATCATTTATGCTTTCAATGCTGATTTTCGGAAGGCATTTTCAACCCTCTTAGGATGCTACAGACTTTGCCCTACTACGAATAATGCCATAGAGACAGTTAGCATCAATAACAATGGAGCCGTGGTGTTTTCCAGCCATCACGAGCCACGAGGCTCCATCTCCAAGGAGTGCAATCTGGTTTACCTGATCCCACATGCTGTGGGCTCCTCCGAGGACCTGAAAAAGGAGGAGGCAGGCGGAATAGCCAAACCCTTGGAGAAGCTGTCCCCAGCCCTGTCAGTCATATTGGACTATGACACTGACGTCTCTCTAGAGAAAATCCAACCCATCACACAAAATGGACAGCACCCAACCTGAGCTCCTGGATGAATCCACCACACATGCTCATCCTGAAAGCTCCAGGAGCTTTCTCTGGGGCTTGCTGTTAAGAAATTAAGGTTTGGTGAGACTCTGGGGTGTCAGGAGAGCCTTCTGCTGCTTTTCAACACATAACAAACTATATTTTCAAATACATTCTAGTGTATTTTCTGTGTTGTTGATAGTCAAGCAAACAGGGACACTGCAAACGTGGGAAGCTACAAGGGACATGTCTTTGGCTCCCAAATTGTTTTTAGAAATTTATTTTTATCTTAAGATTTAAAAAATAGGGCAAAGAATCAGCAATGAACAGCTTCACTTGAAAAATCAAACCTTTTCCAGGAAAGAAATCAGAAGGGTTGAGTTTGCTGTGTACAAACAGGTGCTAACAGTGTTCCAAGAAAAGTTTTCAGATTGTAAAGGTAGGTGCATGCCTTCATAAATTATTTCTAAAAAATAATTGAGGCTTATAGTAGCAATGGGATTTTTTTTCAGAGTTGTGAGATGCTTTGGTTTTATTTATTTATTGTATCATATGGATATTTATAATTTATTATAATAAATATATATTTATCATATTTAATAAGATAAACTAACAAGTTACCTGAGAGCTTACAACCACAGTTTTGCCCTTTAAACTAGCACTATACAAGCCAATGAAATAAACACACAGACTCTGTGAAATCCTAACAAGTGCTTGTGTATAACTGCTAGAAAGATAGCAAAGACTATTCCTTAAAATTCACTGATACAAATAAAAACATGGTGAGAACAGATGAATTCTGTGAATGCTTTTTTTTCATAAAAAGATTTTGAAAAGTTTTAAAAAGGTTAGTCACCATGGTGTTCAAAAATTTTTAAATGGCAAAGACTTTCCCAGGGGAATTTGCCATTCTGTAAATAGCTTAAATAAAAGCTAGCTGAAGAGAGTTCGACTTTAAATTTATGCTGTTACGTGGTAACAGAAAGTACTTTGTATTTATGTAAAATAACTGGCTCTCTGTCTTTTCTCATTTCACGTGTCAGATAGCTTTTCTGAACCAAACAAATGGCTTTCCTAGATAGAGATGTGGATTGTAGTAACCCCACGGATGGACAGAGTTCAAACCCTGCATCTCCATCTTACCGGGTTAAAACAAGCCACTCAGTGGGGCTAATTTTTGTAGTGCTTTAATCCGAACTTAGAACTGATTTTTTTTAAAAAAAGCTTGCAGTGTAACGTATCTTACTTAACTTATAGTGCCTCACAAGCATCCTTGAGTAAGACACTTCTGTTGGTGGAAGAAACAGGAGAACCCTTCTCTTTGGGTGTGTTAGGTACCCCAAAGCTATCCGCACCTCTTTTGACAAATGCTATTCTTTTCTCTGTGCTTTGGAATCAAGTTTCTGTGTCACTGCCCAGATTGTAAAAAGTACAGAAAGCCTCCTTTGCAAGATGCTAACTCAGAGTGAGGCATTTCAAGAGTTTCTTTGAAATGTTTACAAAATATTCTTCTTGATAAGCAACTTACTTAACATTCAGATGGAATCAGTAAAAAGAAAAAAAAAATCTCCTGCATTAGGTCTGTGTTATTTATGTATTGTGAATGTTTTCTTAATTTTATTGGCTGTATGCTTTCTTACATATAATAAAAATATTTTGTGAACTCAAATCAGCCCGGAATGAGCTCTGTTGCGGTTGCTAAATGTGTTTTAAATACTAGGATGTTTGAGATCTACAAGGAAGAAAACATGACCATTTTCAAGTATATGTTGCTTTTTTTTTTTTTAAACAAAATGGAAATTTCTTTTGTTGTATATGCCATGTGTTGCCTTTGAATATCTAAATAGACAATGTTTTCTGATTTGGGCTATATACTCTTCTTTTTATTGTCTTAACTTTTTTTTTGAAAAGAATTCTTTCTTCTACTTCTCATTTCAAAGATTTGAAAGCTTTCTAATATCTCTCTGCTTTTTCTTTCAAGGAGTCTATTTTAAATAAAATAAAAATTACAGAAAAGATGGTAGCTTGCTATGGGGTTGTGGGTCTTTCAGCTGATGACAATTATTGTATGTGTGGTGTTTATTTCATAAGTAAAATACGAAAGGAATTTTTTTTTTCCCTTGGAGAGATTGTGCAGGTTGTGATGCTAGGGTTATCAAATGCCTTACAGGGCATAGCCACAGGTCCTGCCAAAATGACTTAGTTAATGTCCTAAGTCATTTTTTTTCTCATCTTGATGAACAAGAATGACCGAACAGCAGGTGATATAGAAATTAAGGGTTAAGTTTATAATTTGGAACACCGCACAACAGATGGTGTCTTTTTAAATTCCCTAATTGCCTTTCCCGGGCTTCGGCATACCATGAACATATCTAGAATGAGCACCCATAGAGCTTGATGCCTTTTCTTTCTGTTTCATAATTTCCTGGATTCCTTTATTCTTTGAAGTCTATTTTTGCTCATCAATCACAAGCTACAGTGCTCAGTCTGGTCTGTTACTGTCCAGCTAATGAAAAGTGACACCAAAGGCTTTACCATTTATTTCAATGGCAAAAGAGTGAGAAATAAATGATATGTCTAGAAATTACATTAAAGAATTGTAAAAGTTAATACACTTTGAATGAGACTGTACTTTGGGGTTCCTGGCATATTAGATTGATAAAGGGCATCTTATGGAATGTTAATTTTATTGAAAGACTCAGAATTTGATATTATAACTATAAAAGCAGAATGGCAATATGCTTTTCATTTCATTTTTAACTACAGTGATGAACCTTAATAATACTACCTATATATGAAACACTTTATAAAGACAAAGGCAATTTGAAAGAGGTGTTTTTTTCACTTCTCCGTTTAAAAAGACACCTTCCTAATCAAAAGGATACACAGCTCTTACTGGTAACTGACACAGCAGGAAGTCTTATGGGAGGAAGACTGAGGACTGGGCTTCAGTTGTCGATTTTGAGTTTATCTAGGAAAGTCACTGCTTTCTCTTGGAATCTAAGGAAGTCATGTTCTCAGAGTCTCAGTTGTCCTGGTCCATTAAAAGGGAGGACCAAAACCTCTGCATTAATTTTATCAGCAGATGGGTTCACTCCCAAAGTGAATCTATGTGCCATCCAGCTTCAGTGACGTTCTGGATTCTCCTCTCTGAGGTCTCCATCATGCTTTCTCCCTCCGCCTGTCCCACCAGCTATTTAGCCTATTTCCCCCACTTCCCCAAGAGCCCATCCACAGCTGGAGGCCTGGAATGCAGACAGCAGGAGCTTTGTTTTGGACACTGGAGGGTTCACATTGCAACTAAGACTTTCAGCCTGTGTGAGCAGAAACACATGTCTTTATCTCGAGGAGTCTGTTTGACCATTTGTGAAAAGGGAATCAACATGCAGGTTTTTGTGAGGATTAAAATGAAGCTGATGTCTGTAAGAGGAGTAATGACTGATGCGTGGGGCTTATTGATTCTCAGCAAAATCTCTAGTTTGATCAGTTCATATTTCATCCATTCATATTTGTTGTATTAGTAATGATGGATTTCCTACGTATTTGACATGTTTTCTTGAAGCAAATGGAAGTGACTTTTAGAGTGAGGATAAGTGGTTTGAGATGGTCCCAGACGCTGATGTCTTTTGCTGTGGTTATCTGGCATTCCAGGAGCAAGTGGCTTTTTATATCTCCTGGTTAAGAAAATTGCCTTAAGTTACCACTAGCTATTGACTGAATAAATCTATCTACAGTACTTTAATCTATAATATCTCCTTATGGAATTTGTTTCAGGAATAATGACTCTGTAGCCTGCTTGCAGAGTCATTACGGGCTGTTATTGGGCTGTTACATTTAGGACCCATGGCTCTGCGTGATCTGGTTACAGTGATCATTTGAAGGAATGAACCTGGTGGGCCATGGGATTGTAAGGCTATGGAGATTAGATGTACCTGTACGGATTTGTGTTAGATGTCCTGGCTAGAAAAGATGACAAAAGAACCTGTTTATTTAACGGAGGATAGAAAGGATGGTGAGGGTATACCACAGACAAGACCTCTAGGATGTTGTTACCAGGCCAATCTACATTGCCTTCTGTTATGTTAAGTAACCTCTGTGTGATATGCAGAGTTTAAAAGGCAGCCTTTGGACTTTAGTCTGTTCCATCATTTAAGATTTGGGAGTTGTAATTTAAACAGTATTAGAAGCTCAAGAATAATCTCTGATTTAAAAGGGTTTAACTTTCTAATCACTATGAGAAAATGTACAAAACCAGTTGGAATTTTTCTCAGGCTCACAGAACAGAGACTCTATCAGATCTCAAAATTGGTAAATATTTCCAGCCATTGAGAAGAATCTTTTCTGCACCGCATCCCTAGAAGTGAGACTACCTCTCAGGCTTTGCTGGCAGAATGTCTAGCAAAGAGGCAGTGGTAGCAGGAAGACTGAGGTGTATGGTAGGATGTTTCATTTCATTTTAAAAAAATGGACATGCTGCTTTACAAACCTTGAAAGTAAGGGTTTTTTTGTTTGTGTATGTGTGTGTGTGCGCATATGTGTGTGTGTTTATGTGTCTACAATAAAGAATGTTGTATGGAATGAGTTCTAAGATATTTTCTGGCTTGAAAATACTGCCTATGAGATATGAGATCCATGATAGGCAACATCTGACTTTGATGGGTTCCCCTGGCAGGTTTCCCAAATCCCCTTTCTCTTTGTTATTGGAAAGCCAACAGATTGATATTTATAAAATGCAAATTGGGTGGCTCTGTACTTATTTAACATTCTTCAATGGCTCCTAATTACTTTTAGGAAGAAAAAATCAAACTCATATGAAGCCCTTTGTGACAGGGCGGTGCCTGTGGCTCAGTGAGTAGGGCACCAGCCCCATAGACTGAGGGTGGTGGGTTCGAACCCGGCCTCGGCCAAACTGCAACAAAAAATAGCCAGGCGTTGTGACGCCTGTAGTCCCAGCTACTCTGGAGGCTAAAGCAAGAGACTCACCTAAGCCCGAGAGCTGGAGGTTGCTGTGAGCTGTGACACCACAGCACTCTACTGGGGGCAACAAAGTGAGACTCTGTGTCAAAAAAAAAAAAAAAAGCCCTTCGTGATCTGGCCACTGGTGGCCTCGGTAGCCTTATCTGATAGTCAGCACCTCACTAGCACTGTCCTGTAGGGATTCTGAACTGTGTACACTTTGTGGAGTCCTTTCTTGTTTCTATGCTTTTTCATATACTGTTCCCTCTGCCCAGACACCCTTCCCATCGCCTTTGCTTGCCCAGTCTTGTGTGCCCTTTAGGACTGTCAGACTTCTTCCCTGGCACTTTCCTCCTGCCTCTGCCCCTTTATTTCTTTCCAAGGTCTTATCATGCTGTCATGAAACCATCTCTTCATTTCCTTTTGCTTTCTCTAGATTATGAACATATTGAGAGCAAAATCTGTTTTGTTTTTCCTCCCCTGTCTTATATATCCCTAAGCATCCAGGGCACTGCCTGCCATATAGGAGTTACTACTCATTACATTTTTGTTGAAGGAATGAAAGAATGAACAAATCAAAACAAGGAATGTTGGAATCTCAATTTTAGTGAAGTTCATTTTGATAGAATTTGCATTTAATAAGCTTCCAGGAGCATATTTAGGATTTTTACCATGTGTTGGATGCCATCGACACAGAATGGATTGGATGTTGTCCTAGTCTTAGAGGAGGAAGATAGATGTGCAGATAATCTATCATCAAAACAATTTTG